TGATGTGTTGTTATCTATTATAAATATAACAATACTGATAAATCTCTTTCCTTTAGAGTCTAGTCAACGGCTTTCATATTCTTAAGACATACACTCCTGGCCAAGCCGTCGGCTGGAAATCTGCAAAAATAAAATATATATTGATATAATCTCTTTGAATCACTAACAAATCCAAAACAAGACATACAAATATTAATTCGGGCGAAAATCAATAATGTATTTTAACAACTTTTATTTCACTTGCAATGTTTGTATATTCATTTGGGTCAAATCTTGCAACTAAATTCCTCTTTTCTCAACCGATTGAGCTGAAATTTTGTAAACATGTTTAGTTTGGATGACAATGCATGGTTAGCTAAGTAACGTCATTCTAAATTCAATACTGCAGACCACCCAAGATAGCGGACTAGTTATTTTCTATGTGCTCCTATGGTGTGGGTACCAAATAAAATGGTTTGCCTAGATTTTTACTGCTAAGTCCTTCATACTATGTCTTCAATTAATAGGAGTTGCTTAAGCTGTGAGCAAATCCACTTCTTCTGGGCGATGTACATAGTTTCGCAGGTGAGTGTTACGTTTGCAGATTAAGGGTCCACAAGCAGTCGGGATGTGCGAGATGTTTCTTCCGCTTCTAGAAACAGAATCTAAACATCTTTAAATTGCTTAGTCCTAAGATGGACATGTGCATTTTTAGACAAGTGTCCAGTTAGGGCTCTTGCCAGAATAATCAGTTTATTCTTACTTAATCTCAGGGCTTTTGAAGCGAATTTACGATTATAAGACCGGATTAAGGTTTTAGAATGTTCTATGCCTGATGTATCAGACCAGATCTTAATTGGTTTATTATAAGAAAGAGTTTTAAGGGTCAATTAGTCCAGGCTTTTTGAGATTCCAAAAAATGGCTCGCGTCTAAATTGTGTACTCTTTGAGCCTTGCCGTGCGAGCTTGTCGGCAAGTACTGACGTACCTGTATGACCCACAACCCATCTCTAAACGACCCCGTTGTTATACCGCAGGGCGTTTAGACGGTTCACCAAGTCTCTAACTGGTAAAAGACTAGTAAAAAAAGCAACTAACTAGCTTCGAGGTAATTAAATTATATCTCAGCGCTAGCAGTGCTGCTTGACTATCACAGTTTATATGGATAATATAGTTGATGTAGTATTTTTGCAGGTTGATTTCCATACACTGAAGTATGGTGAAAGTTTCTGCCTGGAAGATAGAGCTGAATTTCCTCAAATTCATACTAAGTTTGAATTTTGTGCCTCCCTCATAAATTCTAAGGTCCATTCGAGGCCCATGTTTGACCCACTGTCGCCTCCCACGAAACCCACCGATATTCTAACACTATCGATTCAACTCTGCTGAGCAGTGCTCCTAAGACTGCGACACATCTTCCCATCAGGTATACCTCAAAACTTGAAAACAAGATTGTACAATCAATGCGTATTGCCAGTGATGACTTATGGATCTGATAGGTAGTCCTTGGCTGGCCGGCCGTATGAGGAAACTCAAGGTCACTCACCGAGCTTCAGAGAGGGCTATGCTCGGGGATTTTCTGTGTGGTAAAGTTAGAAATGAGGACATCCGCAGAAGAATCAGAGTAACAGACATAGTCCAACGGATTAGTAAGCTGAAATGGTAATGGACCGGCCATGAAGCTCGAGGAACCGAAAACCAATGGGAAAGAAAGGTTCTCGAGTGGCAAGCTTATACCGGTAGGCAAAGTGTGAGGCTGCCGCCCCCTACTAGAAAAAGGCGACCGGTAAGACATGCAGGCTCACGACCATGCTTTGTGGCATTTCTTGGGGGAGGCCTATGTTGATATGATATGTATGATGATGATAATGATGAAACGGTAAGACTTAGCGGGGTCGTATCTTAACTAATATCAATCAACACCCTGGGCAAATCTGGCGGTGGTACTCGGGAAAGATTAGGGATAGTTTGGTGGTGCTCGAATAAATGTTGTAGGGACCGAAAAGGTTCAAGTGCTGGAAAAAAAATCAAGATGGCGGATCTATAACATTGCCTTCAAACAATGACGCATTAAATGAAATAAACAATCTAAGAAACATGTCGAGCGATAACTAAAAATAAAATATAAATTAATAGTTAAAAAACATTTTTAAAAATAGATTTTATATTTATATGTCCTCAAAATAAGAAAATAAACTTTAATTTAAATTAAGCCTGAATGACCAACCTTTGCTAGGCTTTTTTTTTGGAAATTATATTTAGATAAAAATTACATACTATATAATATTTTTCGATGTTAGCGACTTTATGAGTATAGAAAAAACTGAACTGGTTATTTAAATAAAAATCATGAGGGCAATTAGTTTAATTTAATTTTTCGTGTTTAAAAAAATACTAAAAAAGGGTTCGAAATAATAGATTTTCTCATAAAAGAAGGGAACTTGAAAAAAAAGTCGGACCGAAGATATCTGGACTCGAACCGGCTTACTACGATTTCGGGATCGCCCGATTCATTTGAGCTATTAATATCCTTAACGCATCGCCAAAATTTACCTTCGTACTCTAATGATATTGTAGCAGTACTTCATTGCCTGAAAACACGGATAAAACGACATTTTCTAAAAATGAATCCTAGCTAGATCGATTTAAAGTTAAAGTTACAGCCTATATACGTCCCACTGGTGGGCACAGGCCTCCCCTCATTTCTGAGAGGGTTTTAGATCGATTTATTGCCACCAAAACCCCTGAACACTAAATTTCATGAAAATCGTTGGAGCCGTTTCAGAGATTCCGATTAGTATATATGTATACAAGAATTGCTCGTTTAAAGGTATTAAATAAATATAGATAAAAGCTTGTTGCAAGATTAACCTGTTTTTTTATATATACCTGGGGGGCAAACGAGCATACGGTTCACCTGATGTTAAGTGACTACCGCCACCCATGAACATCCGCCACACCAGAGGAATTGCAAGTGTGTTGCCGGCTCTTTAGAAAGGAGTAAGCTCTTTTCTTGAAGGTCACCATTCGGTCCCAATCGGTCCGGAAAATCGCCGGTGGTAAACAATTCCACAGAGAGGTCGTACGCGGAAGAAAACTTCTAGTGAAACCTACAATGATGGACCGCCAATCATCCAAATGGTGTGGATAGTATCGGGAAGTTTGCCGCGTAGTGCGTTCATGAAATTTGGCGGCTGGGATTAATCCGAACAATTCCTCAGAGTACTCCCCGTGATAGATGCGATAAAGTACGCAAAGAGATGCAATATCTCCTCGCAGCGCCATTGAATTAAACCGATCGGAAAGCACTCGGTCGTCGATGATTCGAGCCGCTCTGCGCTGGATGCGGTTAAGTGGAAGTTGCTGGCACTGGGGAGCCCCAGCCCAGAGATATTCCATGTGCGGCCGAATCTGCGCCTTGTAAAGTTGCAGGCGGTGTGCCGGCATGAAATACTGTCTCGCTCTGCTGAGCTAAGCTTTTTTGAGGCCAATTTGGCTTTCTCTTTCAAGTGACCACGAAACCGCACGCCACACAATAAACAAAAGTACTACGTACATAAGTTGGATAAATAGCAATAAAGTTTTATGTAGCTTGCGTGTGCGATTTATCTAATTAATAATAATTATGTAGGCTTTTAAAATGTCGGCACGCAGTCAACATCAAAGGAGTGCAACTTGAGTATGTAGTACATACTATTATTTTTTCTGTGACGCAGGTAGCAAAAGTAATAGAAACCTGCCAAAAGAGCTGACTGCATAGCATACGGATACTTAAATAACAATAGGAATGTCGGGTTTTCATTATTTACTGTTTCTAAGAATACCAAAGGTAAGACACTATTATTTATAACCAAATCTATATAGCGACCCGACAACAGGTTCGCAGTTTTCGATTTTTTCGCGTATTATGCTAATGACCCTAAATATTCGTTTAGTGTAAGTAAACCTCCTAGTACTAGTTAATACATACAAATGCAAGATCAGCATATTATACTGATTATTAAACACCCAATCGATAAAAGAGATTGAAAATAGCAGCACGACTCATAGCCACTCTTTCATTAATAATGCCGTCGCGTAGCATGTTTGTAAATAGCAAAAAATGTGAAACAGAAAATGTTAAGTAGATAAATTATCTGAGTTTCAAAGACGTTCACGTTGTTATAATCTCAAGTTTTCTAGATGTTACATATTAACCTTCCTCACATTAAACAATAATGTTCTTAATATCAGCAAATTACTAATACATTGCATAACACCCCGGTGCATTCTACTAATAACTAATATCAAAGGATTCAATTTTATTCTCACAACACCTAATCCTACAGTAGGGGCCTTAATAAAGGCGTGTAAACGGCTCTAAGTGATATAAACTTTCGCACGCGAACGTAAGGTGGATTTAATACGCCCGCCGCAACAATCATTAGACTATTTTAACGAAGGTGGCATCCGAAGCGTGCAAAGTATTATGAACAATAGAGACGTTGTAACTAGGTCTAAACTCGCAAGTTTTCTATCAGCGAGCGATTCTTCAGTTCTTGTATGTACTATTATATACTACTATATCTGTATATAAGGATGCTCTGTGATAAGATTGATTATAAAAATGTTTTTTTACTATTTATTTATTTTTTATTTAAGATGGTATTGTAATACAAATTTCTGATTACAATCTTATGCTTTACATATCATTTCACACCTATTTTAATTAAAAACAATATCTAAATGCGCATGCACACGTGAAATGAAGTTTTGCTACCTTTCTTGTAGTGACGTTAGCGAAATACACATTTCCTCATGTTTGGAAACTCGAACTTACACAAATGGCCATAAAAACTCACTTAAACATCAAAATGAAATGCATGAGCGCTTTACGGTTGTTTAATTCACCACGGCAGTCGTTTGCAGTAAACGTCAAAATTAGTTCTCGGGACACTCGCTGGTGGCGTCTCAAATTGGCACACAAAATTAGTTGTCATCTGTATGGAAAAACCAGTCCAGTGTGGTTATATATATACAGGTCAATGTTCTTCAGAAACTTTATTCCGTTTATTTAAGTCGTTAATAATAGTTTTGAGGTTGGCTACTTTAGTTTTCAATCTTTTAACATGTTGGGTCAAAACTTTTATCCGTGCGTTTCTGATTTTTAACGATCGTCTGGCACGTTGTATAGCTATCTTTGAGGATCTGGGAGTGTTTTCATATTGATGGTCATGCGCTACACCATATTCAATTCTCGATTTTTTTGGACTTTGAGAGGCTTCATAGCTATGTTCGTTTCTTGCGATATCGTGTAGATTGCTTTTCGATTCATATGTAGTACTTGCATCTAAAAAAAGGTCATTTCAATAGTTAGGTGGCACTAATTAGGACTACTAGTATCGAACAATTTATGTGCGACATTCATTTATTTGACATACCTTTTTTTAACACATTATCTTCTAAGATACATTCGCTTAATAATCTATTGACTCCCCGTCGCTTTGACGACTGCCACCTTGATGAAGAAGAACTTGTGCTCATACTTTCAGTAGTTGAAGAGGTAGACATTGCTGAAAATATAAAAATTTGAACAATATTAAATTAGAAACCTAACATTACAAACAAATTACAGCGACCAGTAGCCCAATAGCAGAGTGTGGACTGCGAACTCGAAAAGTCGTGGGTTCGAGTTCCCATTTGACTACTGTCGTGAATCATTCCTAACACAAGCATTTTAAGCTTACCAGGAGTGGTTACAGGGAATATTAGTAATATGAATAGCATTGCTAGTTTTTATTTATTTTTTAAAAACTACATATTATGTACTAACCATATTTGTATGCACAAGTAAAGACAACTGGTTGCGGTTCTACTACATCAATTTTTTCCCCTCTGGATTCATTTTTACTGTCAGCTATTTCAAGGTCATCACAAGAATTGGAGTCTGGAAATGATAATATAATTAATGTTTATACATACTTAATAACATTAAAAGCTATATACATAACAGAAATTGTTTAGAATTAAAGACTTAAAGTTTTTTGGTGGTACTCATATATGATCCCATTGTTTATTAGGTCAAACGTAAAATTACTTTCAAATACTCCTTCAAATATTGTTGGAACACTACCCAACTTGAGTGTTGTTCTATTATAATGCTTATTAAAACAATTAGCATCAAAATGTTTTGAACAAAGATGATCTTTTTCTTTTGGAGTCCAGTCAACGGCTTTCATATTCTGAAGCCATACACTCCTCGCCGTCAAGTCGGATGGAAATCTGCAAAATAAAATTATCAATATGATCTCTTTGAATCACTAATAAATCCAAAACAAGACATACAAATATCAATTCGGCGAATATGAATAATTTACTTTTAAGATGTACTGCAATAGAAATTGCTAATACTACAATCTTATGCTTTACATAAAATTGTAGTATCAGAAATTTTTACTTTAAATATCACATACCTGTGAAATGATGTTTTGCTACCTTTCTCGTAGCGACATTTGCAAAATACACACTTCCTCATGTTTGGAATCAAACTCACACAAATGAGCCTAAAAACTCACTAAATCATCAATAAATTGAAATAAAATGCATAAACGCTTTACGGTTTTTAAAATTTCACACTACAGCCGTTTGCAATATATATCAAAATTAGTTCTCAGGACACTTTACTTCCTTCTTCCTTAATGACGTTTATGATGAATTCACCAATGACATGTTATATGTGAATAGTTTTGATTGGGACACAACTCTGCTTAAAAAATATTATGTGATGGATTTTGGCCAACTTGTCTGTTGAATTACCTAAAACAAAAAACAAACAATGTTGTTAGAAAGATCTTTATGTGTTAATATATAACCAACAAATTAAAGTTAATGTTGTTGGAGTTAAACACAAAACACAAGTAAAAATTACATAAATTATAAACAAAAGAGGTATTTGTAAAGGTTAGGAGAAACTTTAGCTGCCATTAGATTTAAGACCCTTAATCGTAAAATTAAGAATATAGTCTCTCATACAGGTATAATTGATAGAATTTACTCAAAACTTCCTATCTTACAAGCCAAGTAAGATCCCTAAACAATTTGTGATCGACAAGAAATATAAGATACAAGTAAATGAAACCAACCATCTGGAGGGATTAAACCCAAAAGAGCTTAGAGTTTTCATGGATGATTCGAAAGCAAATGAAGGTGTAGGGCCTGTAACTTTCTTGGAAGACCTCAGTATCCACATACGTACACTGCTGGGTGGGTACCCACAACATAGTCTTTCAGACAGAATGTATGGGTATCATCCAAGCGGCCATAGCAATAGATGCCAGGAAGGTAAAAGACTTTTCCATCAGAATACTGACCCACAATATGGCGGTACTACAAGCTCTGAGTTGTAATGTATAAATATATAAGTCCCAATTTTACTACATTGCAATCATCGATTAAATGAGGTATGTAAACACAACAATGTAACTCTGCAATGGATCAAAAGACACAGTGGATCCAGGGCTAACGACGCAGAAGACGAACTGACCAGGAGAGGATCGGCTATCACCGTTATAGGGCCGGAATCGATTATACCGATCCCTTTTGGTAAATAAAGGATACACGCCAGATCAAGTTGCAAAACAAACTCATTTAATAAAATATACCTTCCACATATATTATAATTTTTTACTCTCAACATTATGAATACATAACATAATACCTTTCTATCCCAATAACACGGTTACAATCATAGTTTAGGACTTAAGTTGAAATAAACCATTTTAATTATTGTTTTTCATTATTTGTTTCTAATCACTAACAAACAACAGCTTCTTGCCAAATTGTAATTAAAGTTTAATCAGTACTTAGTATGCCAATAATTTCAGGCCACATTTCTAGTGGTGGTATTTTATCGTGGGTCAGACCCAGAAGACGAATTTGATCTTCTACGTGATTGAGGTATTGGCAGGTCATCGGGGGTCTTGTTCGCGATTACGGCCGTAGATCGCGCCAGTATTTGATCAACATGTCGACGGATTAACAGTCCATCTTCCGTTCTCACCTTATAGCAACCAGGGCCCTCGATATACTCAATGGTGGCGCAACTTCTCCTTTGGCCTATAGGCACGCACCAGCACGGGCCGGTCGAGCGCGTAGGCTCGGGCGAGCGCACGCTGTACCGCCTCTCCCAGCTGTCGCTCAGAGCGCTCTGGCGCACTATCGGGATGTAGCGCCGACACCGCAGTTCTATATTTACGTCCATTCAACATCTCTGCAGGAGTACTACTGAGGAGATTCGGCACCGTTCTGAGAGAGTATAACAACCAAGGTAGTTTCTCAGTCCATGATACACCTTCATCAGACATTTTTATGAGCTTGTTCTTGAAGGTCTGTATCGCCCGTTCGATTTTTCCGTTCGTCGTCGGGTGATATGGGGGTGAGTACAAGTGCTCGATGCCATTGTTCTGCAGGAATTGATTAAATTCCCTTGATTAAAACTACTTTTACGGATTTTATCGCGTTTTATTTATATTAATTTTAATACCCGACGTTTCGGGTGCTTTCCAGCACCCATGGTCACGGCGGACTGAGGTGACTGACGTCCCGATGTCAAAGTTAACCCGGAATACCCTCAGCTTTTTAATTATTGTCTTTGGTCCGATCTACGCAGAATGAACTAACTGTATTTTGAAGTCTTGCAATGGTATTCTTGGGTTTAGTTTTAATTTTATTAATTATAGGATCCCAAGCAGGTGGTAGTACCCAGCCTCCTTCTCTATTGAAATTAGGATGTTTTTTAATTTCAATAGCCTCACGTATCATCCTTGGTAGGAATCGATGTTCTTTCGCGAGGATTTGTGGTCTATCAAATCTGATGTAATGGTTGGGGCCATCTAGAATATGATCGCAAACTGCAGACTTCCCGGAACGTTGATGCTTCACGTCAGCTATGTGTTCTTTTACGAGGGTTCTAATTGACCTCTTTGTTTGCCCTATATATGAGAGACCACAATCACAATCAAGCTTGTACACTCCTGCATCTTGTAGAGGAATATCACACTTGACGGATGGTAAGAACTGACTAATCTTTGCGGCTTGTAGAATGTTCTAATAGAAGCTCGCTTCAAGATGCAGCAATTACACAATGTTTTTAACATAGGACATGATTTGGAGATCGCCTTTTAAGCAAGGTGATGCTTGTGTTAGGTGAAAAACAAAACAATTTTATACATTTATGTAGTTTTAAAAATAATGGAAGAATGAAAGTAACAATTTACATTGCTCTTACACTAAACCTAATTTTCAATGTCAGATTTTGTAAGAGGACTGTTTTCTGCAAGTCCACACTAGGAGCGTATTTTGCGTGTGGCAAGGATTATTATGAATTATTCGAGCCATGAAATCACTGCGAAGTAGTTCAATAGTCCTTTGATCTTGCAATCAACTTCGGGAAGCGATCTCAGCGTGCCGAGATGTTTAGCCCTGTATGCAGCGACCTCCGGGTACGCCAGCAACACGCAGGCCGCCGTTTCCTTCTCCCTCTTACATGCTCTGCACAGGAGACTTATCTGTAATGGCGGCTGTACACTCTTGACGAGAGCACTCGCCATGCCTCTCGCGAGGCTCTCGCACGAGAAAGCGCTTTCACGAGGGTGACCTTGTACATTCTGGTTTATTCAGTTACAGTGAGGGACGGCGAGGAGATGGAAGCATGATTTCGGACGGATGGATTTGTGTCTTTGTGGTAACGATGCGTGGACTCCCACAAAATAGGTTAACTTTGATAAATTCAAGAAAATTGTGTTTGCTCTCTTGGTTCCACTTGATAAATTTGTGGTAGTAGGATAATCAAATATACTGCACGCTAAAACGTCTTGCGGTAGACTGAATGAAGCGAGAGTGTCCAGCGCACTCGTGTCCACTCGGGAGGGAATGGAGGCCCTTTGACTCGCGCACCAAAAACCGGCACGAGCGCAAGAGCACGCGAGGCGAGGCGAGGGAGGGCAAGGCTCAGCGAAAGTATCCTGTACACTCTCGTCCGCGCCTTGCCTCGTGGGCCCTTGTCGAGAGTGTACAGCCGCCATCACACCTATAGTAAATAAAGGGGCGATGTCCTGTAATAGCACTTGTTGCTATCCTGATCTGTGGCATGTTAAATCTCATTAAGACCTTGGTTATACAACCGTTTAATTCTGGCAGGGCCTCCCTTGCTTGCCTAAAGTCCTCTAGATTTTCCCAAAGCTGAGCGTGTTGATTAGTAAAGTTTTTACATACCAGATGTTGCTGTTATGTATTGATACTATTGAAGGTTAAATTGTAATATAAGGTATATTTGATTAAATGAGTTTGTTTTGCAACTCCATCTGGCGTGTATATTTTAATGGCGACTGAGGAAAATTAATTAGTTTAAGTAGTAATATGGCGTGTAATTTGATAAATGTAGTGTTTCCTGGAAAATTTGATCCCAGGACTGACAATTGAAGTGAATATAAAGAACGTATATTGTGTGCTCTGGAAGCCGCGGATGTAATTGGTGATAATGTAGACAAACCCCCGCACCCTTTTCCTATCATAATTAGGTGTGCGTGAAGAGTGTCTCCATCGCGAGATGTTAAAGACGAAAAAATCTTACTTATGAGTTAGCAGTGCAATTAAGCCATAACTATCAAGGCACATTCTCGGATTTGTACCTGGAAACAAATGTGCTGAAGCAAACTCCGTCCACAGCTACAGTACCTATGGATATTGTTAAATTTAAAGCGGCATATTGCGTCGGCCTGTATAATGAAATTTGGCAAGTTGCACCAGGTGGAGGAAAGTTTAACTTCAGATAGAGAAAATGAAAAATCTGAACAGATGATGGGTGTCTTTGTCTGCTCAGATAATATTCGACCACCATTTAAAGCAGATGTTATGATTGATGGTGTAAAGGTTAGCATGGAAGTGAACTCAGGTGATTCAAGGACAATCATGGCTCAAGATACATACTAGAAGCTGTGGTCTGTTCCCCCACCTTTAGAGGTGATAAGCGTGAATTTGGTTACTTGGACCTTTGATTAACTGAAAGTGTTAGGTCGAGCTCATGTTCGAGTATCATTAGGAAACAAAGAAGCACTTGTTGTTTCTGGTCGTGGGCCTAGCCTTTTGGGAAGAAATTGATTTAAAATTTTGGGCTTAGAGATAGCTAGCATATGCTGGGCAGATGATGAGAAGGTTGATGAATTATTAAAATCTTTTCCGGCATTGTTCAAAGAAGGACTTGAAGAGTATAAGGGTCCTCGAGTGTCGTTAAATGTGCGAGCTGATGCCTTGCCACGGTTTTTGAAGACACGCCCGGTACCATTTTTTCTGATAAAACAAGTTGAGAAACAATTAATATGCATGGTGAATGAAGGTATATTAACCCCTGTAAAGTACTCTTGATGGGCTACTTCATCAAGAATTGTAAAAAGGATGACGGCTCACTTCGAATATGTGGTGACTACAGGTCAACTGTTAATCTAGCCATAGAGACTGATACATTTCCATTACCAGCTG